TATTTTTAGTAGAGACGAGGTTTCACCATGTTGACCAGGGTGGTCTCGATCTCTTGACCTCGTGATCCACCCGCCTCGGCCTCCCAAAGTGCTGGGATTACAGGCTTGAGCCACTGTGCCGGGCCTAATTTGATGTTGATTGATGCTGATAGTGTCACTTAAAATCGGAGCTTTAGGTTCCCATTCTGGGGACTTCAGGTCTTGGAGTAAAGCGGGGGGTGGGGATCCTGCTCCTGGCAGCTTGGCTGGGGCAGTCCTGGGGTAGGAGCTGCTGCTCTTCCTGTTTGCAGGGCTCAGGGCGTGTGTTAGTCTCAGCACAGGTCTGGGGGCCATAGTGACCTGTGGAGGGTGAGTAGAAGATGGGGCGGGGGTGGGGCCAGGCCTGGGGCCTTGGGCTGGGCCTCGGCTGGCATATGTGGGCCTCATGGGGGCTGACCACCCTAGCTGTCTGCAGGGTCCAGGGGAGCCATGCGCAAGTACAAGGTGTGGATGAGACACCGTTATCACAGCTGCTGCAACCGCCTGGGGGAGCTCCTGGGGCACCCCTCCTTTCAGGTCAAGGTGGGTCTTTGGGATCATTGGGCTGGCCTCATCCTTGTCCATTCTTTGTACCCCCCGCCCAGGTTGTCCACAGAGCAGTGGTCTGGGGCTCCCACAGTTGTCCAGGGAAGCTGCTTCCTTCCTTTGACCAGTGTTCTGGTGGGCAGCCTCCTTTTGTCTCCCGGTTCATGGGAGTGTCACCTTGTGGGCGTTCAGTTCAGTTCATGGGAGTATCGCCCTGTGTCCGGTTCAGAAGCATGGCTGTCGAGCCCCATGCTGAATATTGAAGGAGAAGAGTCAGAGCCTGTTTTCGCCTCTAGTGGCATCACCGGGGATCTGTGTGTTTGCGTAGAGCACACACGCCAAGCCTGATGCCAGTCCGGGCCGCAGATGTGTTTGCTTAGCCCACACTGGTCTGCAGCCGCGAGAACGAGTTACGAGCTTTCTTAAAAGCTGTACTGAGAAATAACTCATGCATAGCATGTTACTGTGTTCACAGAGGTGTGCACTGGTCACCACTGTCCAGAACGTTGTCATCGCCCCAAAGGAAATCCCGTGCCAATTATCACTCGCATGTCCCACTCATTCCACACCCAGCCCTGGGCAACCACTAATTTACTTTCTGCATCAGTGGGTTTGCTTTCTCTAGATGCTCCTCGTGAGGGTATCACAGGATGTGTGGCTCCTTCTGCCCGACACCATGCTGGTGTCACATGCCTGTGTTTTCACAGCGGTTCCCGAGGGTCACAGTGGTATTGCCATGACACAGGTGACCAGAGAGCAGTCCAGTGGCTCCTAAAGCAGACCTGGCCTGTGTGTCCTTCCCCGGCCAGACTGTCTTTTCCTCAGGATCTTGTCCCCACGTCAGGGGTGGGACGTGGAAGCCTAGAGTGGCGTCTGGTGGTGTGTGGAGCAAAAGAAGGCCGGGCCCCCTGTTCCTCAGGGCTGGACCTGGGTGTGAAGGCCTCCCTGACTGGGCTGAGCTCTGGGCCCATCTGTGGGTGGGGGCATTATAGCCCCTCTGCACTGCTCCCTTCCCAGGAGCTGGCCTTGGGCACACTCATGAAGTTCGTGCAGCTGGAAGGAGTGCACCCGCTGGAGAAGCCCAAGTGGGAAGGCAACTACCTGTTCCCCCAAGACCTCTTCAAGGTGAGGCCTTGCGGGATTCCCAGAGGACCTGGCTGGCCAGAGCCCAGGATGGCCCTGTTGTCGGGGCGGGGCCTGCTGCGCTGAGCTGGGATCCTCTTGGGGCTCCTATGCGTGGAGGTGTCTCTCCTGGCCCACCTAGCCAGGAGGAGCCTGGGTGGGGGGGCTCAGCGGGGCAGGGCCACCTGCTTGGCCCATGCTGGCCTGTGCTGGACCGGGCTCTTCACTGTTCCTTACCTCCAGCTGGTGGTGGGAGGCCTGCTGTCTCCTGAGGAGGACCAAAGCCTGCTCCTGTCCCAGTTCCGGGAGTACCTGGACCATGATGACATCCGCTACCACACCATGCGGGCAGCTGTGGACACCGTGGCCCGGGTCACTGGTCAGTACCCCGAGGTGAGCAGCCAGGTCCTGTAGCCAGCGTCATGCTGGTGCCTTGAGGAGGCAGGGACCAGGGTGGCGTCCAGACACTCAGCCCTGGCTCCGCAGGTGCCCCCCGCCTTCTGGAACAACGCCTTCACGCTGCTGTCCGCCGTGAGCCTGCCCCGCCAGGAGCCCACCGCCTCCAGCTTCTACGTGAAGCGCACGGGTGAGTGTCCTGAGGGCTGGGGCGGCCACGGCTGGGCCTTCGTCTGCCTCCCCTGCGGGTCAGGTGACGCCTGGCTCTCGCTTTCCTTGCAGAGCTGTCAGACACCTGGAAGGTCGCTCACCTGAAGGTCAGTTGCTTCTGGAGGGCCAGGTACCCTCTGGGCTTGGGGGTGTGTATGGGGCGTGTGTGAGGCCCCGACGAGGCCCGCTGCCAACTTCTTCACCTGAGAAAACCCCCAGGGCACAGGTGGCAGCTCGCACGGCCGCCGGCTCACTGACAAAGAAGCGTGGGAGGGGTCTCCCTCAGGTCAGAGGCCTGTCACCTCTCGGGGTCTGGAGCCTCTGGTGCCACTTGTGGCCCCTGTGGGCTGTGTGGCTGCAGCCCCCCCTTGGCCCTCGTCTTCCAAGGCTGCTTTCCTGGCTGTTCTGAGACCCCAGCCTCGAGGGCCAGGTGCTCCTGACTTGCACCCGGAGATGAGAGCTTCTGAGCCTGTGACAGGAAGGGGAAGGCGGGGTCAGAAAAGGCGACCGGGCCTGTGCTGGATCTCGGGGCTGGGCTCTGGGGGACCCTGGCAGCCGCTTGGGCCCTGGGTCTGGGGTGGGGGGCGGCAAGTGAGGCCTGGACCCCGTTGCAGGAGCACAGGAAGGCTTTCCAGGCCATGTGGCTCAACTTCCTCAAGCACAAGGTAGGCCGGGTGGCGGGCAGGGCGGTGCCCACTCTTCCCAAGGGGGAGCCTCACCCTGCCCTGCCTGCCCTCGCCCAGCTGCCCCTCAGCCTCTACAAGAAGGTGCTGGTGATCGTGCATGATGCCATCCTGCCGCAGCTGGCACAGCCCACGCTCATGATTGACTTCCTCACTCGTGCCTGCGACCTGGGTGAGTGCGGGCGCCTTGCTCACACGTGGGGAACAGCGCCTCC